TCCCCGGGTGTGTTCCCCGGGTGTGTTCCCCGGGTGGGGTCCCCGGGTGTGTTCCCCGGGTGGGTGTGTTCCCCGGGTGTGTTTCCCTGGGTGTGTTTCCCCGGGTGTGTTTCCCCGGGTGTGTTTCCCCGGGTGTGTTTCCCCGGGTGTGTTCCCCGGGTGTGTTTCCCCATGTGTGTTTCCCTGGGTGTGTTTCCCCGGGTGGGGTTCCGGGGGCCTGAAGCTCTCACCGGGTAGGTGCCTTCGTCCTCTGTTCGCCTGCTCTTCGTTGTTTGTTGTATCCTCATCCTCATTTTCATTGCCATCTTATCATTTTCATCAACCATTATCATCATCATCACTATCATGACCACCATCACTTACATATCATCTTTGCCGCCATCATTAGGTTCGACATCATTGGTCTTTCTCCCCTCCCCCTTCCCCAGGCGGCAAGGGCTCGCCAGGAGCGGGAAACCGCAAATGCAGGAAATGACGACGCACGTAACTCGACCAAGGTACGGGCCGTACGTGAACCCTGTCCGTACATTCGTCTAGTTCGTGAACGCACACATGCGGGCGTGGGCGTTTGGGCGTTTGGGTCGTCGTACATTGGCCTTCTAACTTCATGCGGCTGGTCACTTCTCTCATATGTCTATGATAATTACGGGACCGAGGGAGGTCGTGGGGGGGGGTGGAGGAGGAAACCCGGGGTAAGGGACGTGTGTGTGTGTATGTGACGTGACACGTTTGGCCGTTGCGCAGCGCGCACGAAGGCGGTGTTTGCCGGGTAGGCGACCCACGGTTGTGTCAGGTGTACGGCAAAAGGGCATGGCTAAGGTGTGGCTACTGGGTTTTGCCAGGACTACGAAGGAGGGGGGGAAGGGGGGGGGGGAAATCACGTGCAAAAATAAATTAGGGCCGGGAGAGCTGCATTTCTTATGGAAGAAATGATTTTTTTAGTTTTTATTACTTATAGGGCATGCAGTGGTCCAGTGGTCCAGGGGTCCAGGGGTCCAGGCTACAAGGGGATGGGGGACTTGTCATGTCTCTCACGGCTTTTTCGGGTTCCGTTCCATTTGTACGACGCTCCATATGTATAACTTCAACCTTGTAGATTTGGGGTTGATTTTTAACACTAAGACCCTAATAATTTGGTTTTTGGGGCCGTACGCGGTCGTCGCGGTTGGTGGTTTAGGCCACTCGTCAGAAGGTCGGCTCGGCCGCTGCAGCGGCGGCGGCGGAAGCCAGCGGGCGCGGCGCTGCCGCGGCGGAGGCGGCGGCGGTGGCAGCGCGTACGGCAAGGGAGACGGAGGCGAGGGAGCGAGCGGAGGCCAGTCGCGCGAGGTTGGAGAAGCTTCAGGTGTGTCTGTCTGTCTGTGTGTCTGTGTACGTCTATGTATATGTACCCGCGCGACAAATCCACAAATCCATTTTTTCAGGGGCCTGAAGTCAAAATCCCCTGACTTCAGGCTAGTGGTTCCCCTTGAGCATAGCGTGTCACATTCATGCCGCAGTCCGGCCCCCCCCCACCCCCATCCCAGTTCTACTCCTGGCACTACACTCTTGCCCTGGCAGCACCTTCACTCGTTCACGTGGTTCGTATTTCCCCCCCCCCTCCCCATCCATCCATCCTTCCCCACCCTCTACAGGCACAACAAGACGAGGCGGCCAAGGCGGCCGCCGCCGCGAAGGCAGCAGCCGCTGCCAAGGCGGCGGCGGCGGCAGCCGCCGTTGCCGCTGCCGCGCCAGCGGCGGCTACCGCCGCCGCCGCTGCTGCAGCTGCTGACGCCCGTGCTGTGCCCTCGGCGAGTAGCAGCCCCAGTCCCCATGCCGGTGGCGGTATTGCTACTGCTACTATTGCTGCTACCGCTGGTGGTGGTAGCGGTGGTACCAGTGGTAGCGGTGGTAGCGGTGCGGGTCTCAAGTCCCGGGGGGGGAGCA